AAGATTTCCAATATCTTCCAGGCAAGCTTCCTGGGACGTGGAACCTTCTCAGTTTTGGCAGCCCTTGACATCTTTGACATCAGCACTTCATTGTGCGCTGCCTCTGCAATCTGCTTGGTCGCTGCCAGCAGTCGGCGTCGCTGCCAGCAGTCGGCGTCGCTGACCTTTGTTCAGGGTTTCTTCGTCCCCTGCATTGTCAGCCATCAGCACCGTGTGCCGTTCCATGTACCCATCCTCAGTCTCGGATGAGCTGGACTCGCTGAGCTCAACCTCATGAGAGGTCTCTGAGACTGAGTCGCTGATCGAGCCCAGACTGGACTCATCATCAGCCCGTGGCGCGGCCACCCGAAAGCAGTCATTTGGGAGCTGTGTTTTCACTGCGTCCCACAAGGCGATAGCCTCATCATCCATGCTCTTTTGCCATTCGGCAAGTTCTTCAACCTCCTGATAATCATCTTCCAGCTCCCGTGGCACTTCAGGTGCTTCGGAGTCAGTTGATCCCTCCAATGCTTCTGCAACGAGTGCCATCGAATAGGGATCACGGATCAGGGTTTCTTTCAGCTTCTGCAGCTCTGCTGTCTCCCAGGCCTTGGGCTTCTGGTGACCCAGCAGAGATATCACAGGGTGCCTGGTCGAAGAAAATCGGGTTGGTCTCCAAACATTTCCTTCTCCGACCTGCATGGTGCCATCCGAAAAATTGAGCACCACACCCCATCTTCTCATTTCAGATGGGCCGACCAGTGCAGGACAGTGCGCGACTCGGTCATCATCTCGAGTCCGTCGCACAACTGCCAAGCGCAGGTAGGACAACGGTCCATCTGCCCCTAACTGCACTGGGTACACCACAGCCTCCGTGCTTAGCACAGGCTTCCCGGCACCGAATCTGAAAATCTCTTCATGCTCCACCGTCTCATAGCGAAGTCCCTTTGCATCCAGCATCTGCTGGAATCGGTGATGCCACTCCTCACCGGCTACTGCCGTCCGACATCCCGTGTCCAGGATGATGTCATCCGAATTGATGACATAGGTGGCGTGGACATCCTCTTCGACCTGATGAGCCTCTGCTGCCAGCGCTCCATGTACCCGGCTGTAGTACAGCACCTTTTTCAGACCGCAAGCTCTGCAGCTCGCCCAATGGGCTTCTCCATTTGCCCCCCATGCGAGCCTCTCGAAAGGGTGCTTGCAGATCTCCTGTTCTCTCTTCGTTGGAAAGTCACTTGCCTCCGATGGCTTGCATCTCCCCTTGTGGTCCAGGGAGGCCTCATAGAGATGCCATCGGAACTCTTTCAACTTCTTCCGGCGTACCGGCTCAGGCATCTGGTTCTCTGACCTCGCTGGCGGTGGCTCTGCTGATCCACGCGCATCGGACGCAGCCGTGCTTGGCCTAGGCGCTGCCTTTGCGGCCGAGTAGCCACCCTTTCGATCTGCTGACCGTCTCACCGTCTCCCGGTCATAGTCATGGCGGAAGTGCCTCAGCTCTTCCTCCTCCTGCTCTCGCTTGAGGGCCTGGTAGAGCTGTCGCTTCTCCTCTTTGTCAAGGTATGGCAGCATAGTCAGCATCTCTTGTGCTCCAGCATCCGTGCTCTGGAAAGACTGGATTCGCTGATGGGCGCGCTGCACCCTCTCTTGTCTCTTCTTTTCCGCTGCCTCTTCCTCGCGGGTGATCCTGCGCTCTCTCTTTTCAATCTTCTTCAAGGCCTGCTCATCTTCAGTGATGACTGCCAAGGCACGCAGGACCTTCTTCAGATCGACTTTGTACTTCGATTTCGGCGGCGCAGCCGCAGCTTTTGCACTAGGTGCAGGTGCCTTGCCATAGGTCACCGGTTCAACATCGCTGTCACTGGACTCATCCGGGGAGGTGAGGAGCGCGTCCGAAGCACTCTCGTAGTCACCCACCATGTCCCATCCATTGACAAAAGTCCAGTTGACCCTTGATACTCTCGGTTCATTTCCATCGCCATCAGGGTTGCTAGAAGCAAAGTTGGCTCCCGATGGACTTGTCCCTCCAGTGCCACTGGCGCCGCCATTCTTGGGACACTGAGGGTCCGAGTGCCAATGGCCGATCTGGCCACATGCAGCACATCTTGATTTCTTTTTGCGCTCATTAGGATCTCTCCATTCCTTGCGTTGTTTGCCCTTTCCACCGCCCTTGGAAGATGAAGGGCCTTCAGAGTATCCTCTGGCTTTCTTCTTTCCAGCTGCTCGGGACTTGGCCGACCAGCCCGCAGCAAAAGCCTCTTTCAACTCCCACGTTGTGCCTGTTTCATCTTCTTCTTCATAGGGGTACTGCTCGTAGTAGTCCTCCTCTTCATCCCCATATTCCCCATCGTCATACTCCTCCGGCTCATCATCGGGACTCATCATCAGAGCTTCCTGTTCCAAGTCCTCATCGTCCACATCGTCCTGATCCTCTTCATCTTCATCATTCTCAGCGATGTGGGTGTGCCGGGATGGACGATAGGGTCCTCGGCGGTCTGTCCTCTTCGTGTGATGCTGGCTCGGCCGCTTCACGAAGGGCTTCTTGTATCCGGAGCTTCCGGTTCCCCTGGGCTTGGTGGCGTTCTGTTGCTTTTCCTGCACGTGGATGTCAGAGCATCGGAAGCGCAAGACGCGCTCTATGTGCTTGCTGACATACTTGCCTCCAGCGCTGAAAAAGACATCCATGCGCTCCCGCCGGGTCAGGGCCGCCCGGCTCAACATCCGCTGGGCGAATGCTCGGTCCGAAATGACCGTGCCCTCATCTTCGCGCAAGTACTCTTCGCGCAATCGGCGAAGATTGGCGATATACGCCGCCACACTGGTGCCCGGGGTGCGACGGTACGACAGGTACGCGTCTTGACGCTGCTCGAATCGCTCATCAGAGCGTGCCCCGAACGCGTCATTGAGCAGCCTGAGCACTCTTTGAAGTCCTCCATCACTCTGGATGTCAGCTATCTCCAGTTGATTGAGGACTTGGCGAGCTTCGCCTTCACAGCTGAGGTAGATCAAGAGGGCCATCTCTGAATCCTCCAGCCTGTACAACGCTCTTTGCGCATCCAGCAGCTTCTTCCAGTCGTGGTACTTCTCCCGGTTCCCTCGGAAGGGTTCTATCTTGACTTGACTAAGTGCAGGCTTTGCCCGCTCCGGGAGCTGCTTTCTGGCTGCCGTCTGCAGCATCTCTCGAATCTCGCTGGTTCGGGCTGTGGATGCCTCGGAGTTCGGAGCTCTTCTCCCACCGGATGATCTGGCGCTGCCAGGTTGCGACCGACGGGATCGGGCGCTGCCCGCATGAGATCCTCTCACAGACGGATCCTCCACTCGCTCCTCCGGCTCTTCGGACTCCTCTTCGTAGCTGTAGGTGTAGCTACTATCGCCGCTACCTGGTCCACCACCACCATCTCCGCCGCTCGGCGGGCCAGCTTTGGACTTCTTGGCAGGGTTCTTCTTTTCCTCTTCTCGAGGTGGCCCACGGCGTGACCTATCCTCATCCTTCCTTCGATCTCGGCCTCCATCAGTGTTGCGGTTCCCTTGACCTTCATCTCGCCGATCGCGGTCGTCACCTCGATCTCCACGGCGTTCATTGCGGTCTCGGTCACCACTGCGGCGCTCCGATCCTCGGGAAGGCTCTCCCCTCGGTGGTGTTGCTTCCTTTTCCTCCTTCGTGCGTGCATCCCTCTTGGGAGGTGAAGGTGGCGGATTGGTTGGCTCCCTCGGCATGGGCAGCTTCTTCTTAGGCTTCGGTTCCTTTGGCCTTGGTGGCACTTCTGGTTCTTTCGGTCTTTGGCCACCTCCGGATTCACGTCGTCCTTGACCTGCATCTTCAGGATCCTCCACCATGGAGTAAGCCTCTTGGCGAGTTCTCCAAGTTGGAGACTGTCCAGACTCCTCCCAGTTCCAGGAGTAATCCCAATTGGGATCCCAGCCGTACTCCCAGCCATAGGAGTCCCATTCCTGCGAATCCCATCCGTGGCTCGGCCACCATGAACCTGTCGTAGCTCGGCTGCTATGTCCCGAGGAACGGGAAGCATCTCCATGTTTCCCTTTTCCTTTCTTACCACCTTTCTTGCCTTTGCCACGGCCCTTGCTGTCATGACGACTGCCCTTACTACCCTTCCGGGATCCGGGACGGTTGCGGTCTGGAGCACGTCCTCGGTCCTGGGGGTTATCCTTGGGCCGGGCGTCACGGACGCTTGGGCTGCGCCGCAGCTGTTCTCTTTCACGTCGTTCACCTCTTCTTTCACGCACCTCTCGGGGATCATCCTTGTCTTCAGATGACCTCCTGCGTGACCTCCTTTTCCTGCCGACACTGCCGGATTCGACACTGGTGGCGCTGCCACACCAGCGGGCTCAGCCACTTCCACTTTCACTTTCTCTTCGGGGCCTTCAGAACTATAGTCTGCCTCCGAAGTGCTATCCGGCACCGCCGGGAGGCCCGGAGTATCCGGTGCCTCTTGTGGTTCAACCACACTGGCCCCTTCGGTTTTCATCGGGGCTCCGCTACCAATGCGGAGGTAGCGTGGTGTTAACCCCAAAAGCGAATGGGGTATCAGATTGGGCTCAATTAGAAGTTTAGAAAGTTGCTAAGTCACTCAGGGCAGCAGCCCAGGCACAGCCTTTTCACGCTAGATATGCTTGGGCCAAGCTGCGGTAAAAACACAGAATATGTACAGATGTGCATGCAGCTACAAGCTACCTAAACATGCATGACCAGCTAGCAGCATTACTCACAGGTCCAAGGGTTTAGCCAGCGCATATGATCATATGATCCACATGAGCAACAGGTTTAACATGGTTCAACACTATTGTGGTAAAACCAGGTAAACCCTGTTGTCAGCAAACGTCCTGACCCCTTTGACAAGTGAAGCACTTAAAACTACTAAACTAACATGGAAGCAATATGAAAGAAACATCAGGAGGAAGCCAAGGCTGACTGCCTGGATGTGATGGTGGGGAGTGAAAACTCCCTCATCAGCCAAGATGCCAGTGTTAAAGCTGCATGACCTTTCTCCCAACCCTCTCCGCACCTTAGCACCATTGTCACCTCAGCTCCCACTTAGACTTGATTCCTCACATTCTGAAGCGAATTCTGCCAACCAGCTCAAACGAACAAGACTCCTTCAGTGAAGGGGAACGAGGCTCACAGCAGCCACAGAGTTCAGCAATCTTACAGACCTTTATTTTAGGCAGTTCTAGCACAGCGAGTTTCAAACAACTCCAAACAAGTATATACTGTGAATGCCTGTGTCAGCATGTGATGATGTCGCCAAAGTCATGCAACATGTTCAAATATGTTCAATCTCACAGGATCTCACAGGATCACAAACGACGCTACTCAAATCTTTGAGAACTGAGTCGCCATACTTTTCCCATGCCCAACCGAAGCATGGGTGGGCACGCAAGTGCACATAGATGGGTCATGATTGGTCTGGATCTACATCAGAATGAACCGATGTACCCTGGTGCACTCGGCGCCACGGGTCCCCCACCCCATGATGATTGCGTCCAGCATTGACATGAGGATGTCCCGTGGCGGGGGCCTTGTTCTCCCAAGCACAAGTACAGTAATGTCACAACTGGGGGAAGTTGCATAAAATATGACTGTACTTCATTTATGCCTACCATTACCTACCCAAGTTTCAAGACAGGTATCTTCTCTTCTGCTCTAGTTTTGGAGACATGTTCGACTGAGTCAAAGCAGATGTCACATATCAACTGCAACCCTGACAAAGTTAAAAAGAATCCAAGCGCCATGACACACAAAGCTGGCCAAGCCGCAAGCCTCATGCAATCCCAGGGTGCTGATCTTCTCTCCCAGCGAAGAGTGGCGGTTTGTAGATGGTTTTCAGATGTTTGGACTCTGGACTGAACGAAATTTGCGAAAAAACTGGGGGACGGGGACATCAACCGGACTCAAGCCTACAGGATTCTCATCATCCGGAATCCCACAGCACATAGTCAAAAGGCAGCTACACTTTCCTGATCCCAGGTGTTCCATGGTGTTCCATGGTGTTCCACAGACAAAGACCGAGTTTGGAGCATTCTTCCACAAGCTGTCGCAAGAGTCCAGACTGCTGGCACCTCAGTCAAGGGGCCGCTTGAAACGAGCAGCATTGAGTAGCAACTGTAAATACTCCTCGCAAAATTTGCACAGAGTTGCCAAAAAAAAAAAGCAATTGCGGATTCAACGGATTCAATTGTCAAGAATAATTCCATCCAACCATTCCGTCCGGTCATCTGCGAAAGTACAGGAAAATCGTGCTGTCCAAGTAGGGCCGACGTTGTATTGTCAGCTCAATTCATCTAGCTCATCGTACCAAGCTCTAGTTCTTGGGCCCTGACTGAGACATATCCACCTGGTTGGGATTCGGAGCGTCCTGGACTGGATGGGGCTGGGAAGTTGCAAGCAGAACCCCATGGCAAATGGTTTTGAAGAACTGCAGTGGAGACAAGACACCAAAAAGCACAAATTTGAGCTTGGTCTTTCCGGCAAGCATCTACAGTGGTGGCAAAATTGTGATATCGCTGTTCTTCAGTAAGTAGCATGAGCAAATGCACAAATAGTATCGAAAAATACCAGTCTAACCGAGTCTAACCTCTCCGTGGTCCTGAACGAAGTTGGGAACCATGTGTCCAATGCCGGCATCCTTGCAGTCAACGTTGACCAAGCGGACAACTGCAATCATTATATGGGACTTCAGATGCCTTTGGAGTTGCCGCAGATCGAGTAGATTGAAGATACATCGCGAATATTTGCGAATGAGTGTGTCACAAGCCGAACCCCCAATCCAAGCCCAAGAGTATACTGCAATGATCTGCAATGCGGTTTGTGTGAAGCACGAGATTCACATTGGCTCACAGTTAAAGTACAATCTCATGCACCATCATATTGCGTGCTGAAGCAAAAAGATGTCCAAACATTAAAAATGCCAGAACGCGTAACCATGAAATAATCAAACACAAATCTAACCAGTAAGTATCTTGTTCTCAGACACCTCAGATGGAATCGAACCTGATCTTTGATGCAAATTCCATCCCTGGTTCGCAATCCGTGCAGCTCCTGCGAGCCCAAGCAGTAGAGGAGCAAGCCAACTCGGTAAGAGATCACCTGCCTGCAGTTCAGCTTTGGGAACGGCCGGGCAAGCGGGCAAGAAACCAAATCATGGGATGATTACAGATTGGCATCTCCCAGTTTCGTCAACTTCCATAGGCCCCATGGTCCCTCCCCGTCCCCGCACCACATGTTGCTTCTCTCCACCGGCACGTCTTGTACCTACCAGCTCCAGTGGAATCGCCAACTGTCACTTCACTGCAATCCATGGTAGCTTGAGTCATCTTGGACAGATTCAGAGAATTCTCGGAGAGCTGTCCCAAGATCAACTGATTCTTTCAACAATGGCTACAGCAACAAACTTTTCAAAGCAAAGGTGGCCAAGCATGATCTCAGTCAAGAAATCTAAGTTGATGCCTTTCTTCCAGCCTCTTCAGGGGACATCCATTTCATGGTCATGGCCATCTTCCGCCTGTAACAAACTGCTGGGTCGTATAAATCTGCAAAACTTGGGAGACAACTTGCAAACATCCCAATTGATTGAATCATTGAATTATATATTACATGTATTAATCAATCAGTTTTGGGGCACCCTCAAACATACTTCATCATTGACCTTCATCGACCAGCCCCCGGCTGACCAGCTCTGCGGTCGTCCGGTGTTGATGGGAGCCATGACTTTGGCTGTCCTCAGACGCCCAAAGGCCAAAGGACTGATCCAACTTGAAGAGTCAGCGTTGGGGTCCTACATCCACATTGCCACATATTGCCACTGTCGTACTAGAGTTCAAATGACTTCGTCGCTATATACATCTATATCCTGTAGGCAACCTGATGCAACCTTTAAGCAACCCTTGTACACAGAGTGCAAAATCTCCAGCTTAGAACCAAAACGATCTCCACTGTGCGGACATGCACGCGTTGGTGCCCAAGAAATGGACCAACGAAAGAAAACGCTTCAGAAAAACAGCATGGCCAAGCGATTCTGAGTACTAAACTGATACAGGAAATTCATGGAAATTCAAGGCTACGTAGAATTATCCTAGATCGTCCTGGGATGTCCCGACTCCGCAAAAAGCCCGGATTTATATATACTATATATAATTATCTGGTTGGTGGTTTCAACCCCACTGAAAAATCCGCCCGCACCGAAGGTGCTGGGGCGTGATCTTCCGGATGGCACTCGTAAAAGGTTACAGGTTTACCTGGGGGGGGGGGGCATTTTTCGGCCAAAACCTCCTGTTTTTGATAGGTCGTGACGCTCGCCTTCAAAAAACACTGTAAAAAACAGTACGGAAGACACCTGTTCGTGAACGCGCCCGTCCAAAATCGGCAAGTGAAAAGTGAAAAAAACCGTGTTTTTCAACTTTTTGACCTCAATTTTTTGGTTTGCAACATCTTTTTTTGCGGTTCCGCAGGTGGCCGGGCCCGGAGGCGGATTTTTGAGTTTTTGGACCCGTTTACGGACTGATTGTCGTCGTTTTGTGATAGCAGAAACACTGGTTTTTACAGTGTTTTTCTGTTTTCTGCATGCTTGACGGCTAGCTTCAAAACTTCCAAAAACCTCGTAAATTACGCTGTTTTATGTTACGGTGTGAATGAAAACATCGTAAATACCAGTGTTTTTTGACGTTGGTTAAAAAAACACTGTAAATTACAGTGTTTTTGGCCACCTGACCCTCAAAAACCATGGTATTTGCAGTGGTTTCTGCTTCTCACCGCGCAAAAACACTGTAAATAACAGCAATTTCGCCGTTTTTTCATGTTTTTCGTTATTTTTTGAACTGCGTTGGTCCGCTATACATGGCTATCAAATTCTTCGCGTTTTTTTTTCCGACAATCAGTACTTTCGGATGTTTTTGGTCTCAATGGCCGACATCATTGGCAGTTACGAGCGGCTGCCCAACGATGCGGTGCGGGCGGTTGCCGTCGCGAAGCGACGTGAATATTAGTCAGATTGGATCATCATCCCAACTGACTATTGGAGAAAATAAAAAATGATCCAAACCACCAACCAGTTATATGTATATGTATATAATATATATATATAATATATAATATATATAATATATAATATATATATACACGTATATATACTGTATATATCATCCACAGTTTCAGCCGGTTGGCATACAGCCAGATGGTGCCAAATACTACTGCTTGCTGAGCCACCCGTTCAAGGCGATGAAGATCTTTGTAGGCATAATGCTGCCTCAGCCAGCAAGAAATTAGATGTGTTAAAACATGGGGTAAACCGGTAAACCATGGTAAACCTCAAATCCACTGGTTAGTCATCATTAGTCATTATCTATATCTATATATATATATATATCGTTCACATATTTGGGGATACCTCATTTTTGCAAACCGTTCCGGAAGAAATGCGTTGGACGTTGCTGGAATCGTCATGCATGCTGCGGCTGTGTGATAAGATTCTTGCAAGTTTCATGAGCAAAAGTAAAATCACACTGCTCCTGCACACTACTCTTTATGCATCAGCTTGAGCGATCCGGGGTTTGGGTGTCCAAAACCCTGATACAGTACCTTGGAACACCAAGTTGTACGTTCATCCCCAACATGGTTCCATGGGTATTCACCCATCCCCATGTTCCAAATGTTGCACCACGCTTCTCAGCAAAGGGAGAAACTCCATTTCACCATGCTTGGTTTGCTTGGGTTTCACACATCTCCAAAGCAAAGCGCCAGGAGTGAGCTGAGTCTCCGCACTCACTACCTGTGCTGGGCTGTGTTCACAGTCGTTTTCCAGCAAGCCCTGTGCGAGCGTCCGAGCAACGAGTGGATACCATGCACCATGATCACCTGATCCTGTGGATTTTTCACAGGGATTGCCATCAAAGCAGAATCTCTATTGGGTTTGTCTGAAAATAGTGTATCTCATATTCCAATGGATTATCACCATGTTCCCCATTCAAATGGCTATTTGTGGGTATCCCCTATTTTCAGACAAAGCCATTGGCAACGTCTCAGATGGCACTAGGCCGGTCGGCACCTCCACCCCCAGCACCACGTCCCTGGCGATCATGGCAGCATGTCGCGCGGACAGCCGCACATCCATCGCCTTCCGAGATCTCCCCGGGTGATCCCCAGGCCATCTTTAACGCTTCATCTTTAATCGGTCCTGGGGAAGCTGGATGGTTAATGATGGTTAATGATGGTTAATGATGGTTAATGATGGTTGATGATGGTTGATGATGGAATTTCATAGATCTTCATACCATTTTGACACCGATTGATGCATTTTCTGGATGTTTGTGGCGCCTTCTGCGTCATGACGTACTCCACCAAATTGCCTCGCAGAACGCCATCCCAGGCGATAGGAATTTGTGATAGCCGATTGGATGCTGCTGCCAAGTGGTCATTAGAGATCGGACATCTGAAGTGTCGGCCTTGAAACAGACTTCGCCTGCACAACCCTACATAAGTTTATAATGGTTTACAAAAGATTTACAATTTACATCAGATTTAGAATGATTTAGATAAGTATAGGTAGAATAGTATAGAATAGAATAGTATAGAAAAGTAACAAGTGTACCGAGATCGTGTCACAAGCAGCGACAAAATTTCTGGATCAAATCCAGTGGATCTGCTGAATCCAACTGGGAACAAGTGACATGTGGTGACCCTGGATTGGTGACCCACACTACACATCTGGATCCTTGGGCCCCCAGCCGTATTGACAGAACGGGAATGCCAGGTAGCATTTGCTGCCCCGCCTCTGATATCTCTGATGCGCCGAACAGTTTAGAAGGGCAACTTCATAGCACCAGGAATCTTGTCTTTGCCATCGAGAATTACATTCAGATCATCTGTATTCTACGGCAGATTCTGTGAGTTCAGGATTTTCAAGTGGAGTCTCAAGAATCGGTGATGGAACGGCATCGTTTCGCAGTTTCAAACCCATCAGTTAGTCGCAAAAACACCCGGCGAATGGGCACACACTCCTACTTTGAAAAGCATACAGTGCTCCGCATGTCTCAAAGTTTGGGTTGCGAGCATCCAAGCCAAACAATTCCCAAGAGGGTCTGCTGAAACTAAATATAAAGTGTTCCTTGCCCTGATTCTGGTGATCAGCTGCGCTCCAAGCGCCACACCAAGTATCTCCTGAAGGCCTTGAGCTGAGTTTTTGGAGGGAGGCTGACATACGAAAACCAATGACTGGCACCTCAACTGACGACTGAGGCCGCAACGAGTCTCTTATGGCCTTGGTCAGTCAGGGTCAACCAGTCCCTCCTCAAGCTCTTTCGGCTCTCTAGACCAGGGGAGCTATGTACTGTGGCGCTGGGCAAAGTGAGCAACAAAGCTGCAACGTTTCATACCGCGGATTCTGGGTCCATGGAACAAGTCAATAGTCAATAGCTGAATGCTGCAAATGGTCAAGCTCTCCCCATTCCCTAGGGAACCCTTCAGTTCATGCACTTCGTGATAGCTATGATACGACCGAACAAAACCCAACTCATGCCTGGGAGGGGTATTACTCCTCAGCCATCAGGTCACATTCAACTACCTCGATCTTCAAATACTGAGTCCTGGACGGCAATGGGCTGCAGCACATGTGGAGAATGGTGACGATGGGAAAACCTGCAAATGTTATGAATGAAGTTCTTGACCTACTGCGCACGCCTAAAATTCAATACTTACACCATCCAAAACATCATCCACTTCAAGATTCTGAAGCAGGAGCCGGTGATTTCGTTGCTCACAAGTTGCCAGAAGTCTGAGGTTTTGCCTTTGAACCCACTGAGCTTCCAGGCGATGGCAATGGTATGCCTGGTTCCAGTGGTCTCAAAACGACGCGCTGGTTGAACCTCCGAACAGGGGAAATCATGGGAAATCTAGGTTGCGAAACGCTGCTAACATCTGAGGCATCTAGGGAATCTAGCCGAATCTACAGCAGTTTCAACAGGTCAACAGCCTGGGAATCCTTACTGCCCAACTAATGGCTTTGCGATCGCTGATCTCAGCCTTGCTCCAAACGATTTTTGGCCCCTGGCCGACCGTGCCGCAGCAACAGAGGTTGTGGCTTCCACTTCATGCCTGCGACCACATAGATACTACAGCATGAAGGCAGGATAAGCAAAGCAGGTCTACAACTCACCACAGCAGCGCGCTTAATTTTCATGCTCCAAAGCTGCCGTTTCACCATCCAAGACCTAGCCCCTTTGCTGCCTGTGGCCTTGCATTCGAGAGTGCCAGCTTTCACTGGAGTTTCCACTCCACGCACTGCCTGGCAAAGAGTTTCTGAAGACCTTAAGCGCCGACCTCCCTATAACCTTGATTACCGGTACACCTTAAAATTTACCCAGCAAAGGCCATACCCACGAGTAAAATCATCTTGGGTCCCATGACAATTCGGAGCTGAGCAATTGTACAACTGCTTTCAGTGTCGTTCAATCAAATGAAATACTGGATGGAAAAACAAAATCAGTGGAACTTCAGAAAAAGTCTCTTCTTGCCTAAGCTGTGGTCTGTGCAATAGCTTGGTATTAGCATATTAGCATATACAAGTCTTTGCGGCAGCTACAAGTACTTGATTCTACTTCGACTGGGGGGCCTATTCGCAGGAGTCACCTTGAACTTGGGAAAGAAACAGAATGGGCCACCATCAAGTCACTTTGGTTCAACATGGCACTGCGATGTTTGCCGCACCTCTTCCAGAAGGCATGACACCGGCCTGGCGAAGAAATGCAGCTGCAGGAACATGGGTCTTAGTCTTTTAAGATCAATGTGCAATCTCACTTACTGAGACTGTAAAGCCTTCTTGTGACCCTAGCCTCTTCTTCTTCAATCTTGGGGGACCTGTACTGTACTGTAAAGGATCCACGGCAGCTTTCTCTTCCCTCAATATTGAAGTTCGTGGTCGTATTATTGCGCTGGCGCAATCGCGACAGGACAGCGCCACTGAAAACCGATCGCCTCTAACACCCCCTGTGTTTCGCTATGACCGCTATGAGTTCCTGGCCGCAAAACATGCCCAGGTTGCAAGACATCTGCGAAAACAGGCATAGCCTGAAAAAAGCGGCTGCTGGAGCCGTGGATGTCTCCAGGATCTCTAGGGAAAGCGTTTTTTGTCCAAACAAACTTGGGAAATTGGCAGGATGATTTTCTTGAACATTCTTGAACATCTATCCGACAAAGTGAGATAGGATGAGATAGGTATGGTTCAAAAATTTGGTACCAATGTACCCACAAATTGTTCAATTAGAGTACACATTCAACCCTAAAAAAGGTATCTCTTTTGACCCATACCCGACGCCCACCTGCGACCAGTTCTTCATCAGAATTTTCTAATTCTACCAGAATATAATCTTTATCAGTCTTGATTATTCTAACCTTATCGCTGAGGTCTAGGCTGGTGCGGCTGACAGCGGCTGAGGTGCGGCTGACAGCGGCTGAGGTGCGGCTGACAGCGGCTGAGGTGCGGCTGGCAGCGGCTGAGGTGCGGCTGGCAGCAGCTGAGGTGCGGCTGGCAGCGGCTGAGGTGCGGCTGGCAGCAGCTGAGGTGCGGCTGACAGCGGCTGAGGTGCGGCTGGCAGCGGCTGAGGTGCTGCCTTGACATCAGCTTTCACGACCCCAGAATACTCCAACCCCCAAATTTGCTTCTGGATGCATCTGGTTCAAAGTTCAAGACCCACAACTCGTACATTCCAGCTTTAATTTGATCTGTGTATAAAACAGTATTGCTAACATTTGTTAACCATCAAATTCTTTGAGTCATCATTCTCATCACCCATCCGATAATACCCATCTTGGGCACCTGGATGGGTGTTGGGATCATCTGCAGCCCTGCCGCGCTGTGGCATTTAAGTGGCATTTGCTACATCTGTGGACAAGCAACGCATGACAAAGGACACATAGCCGGCCTGGTGGTTTCTCTATGCTCCACGGAGCCTCTCAAACATGAGGCATATCTTTTCTGTACTGCCAGAAGTCATGCATATAATTATCTGACTGGGCCATATTTTGATGCCTTTGCACATTGTCTTTGCACATGTTTGAAATATGTTGAAATGTTTCATGCTTCCAGGTGCTGCAGAGATGTGGGTCCTGCCAGTGTCCAAGTTGTGGCTGGAATCCTTCCACTCTAGGAGGATCTCAGTGGTCCGGTCAGGGTCCGCATCGGCTGATGATCAACTCACTGAGAAAGAATTCTTGACGTTATTGAAGTTTGAAAACACTTGAATGAGAAACGTGAAAGGATTTCTCTGAACTGTTTCTCAGACTTCCTACAGAAGTAAGCATACAATAAGCACAACTGGAGGCTTTGCCATGCTGGGAAGCAATGACACAGCCGAGGTCAAGGTCCAGGCGAGCTGATTCGCTCTTCGGAAGAGTGCCAAGTAGCCTGTCAACAAAACTGTTTGCAGTGGAGCTGAGCACATATGCAGGGCCTTCAGGTATGACAGCTGCACAGCAAAGTCAGTGATGTTCTTCTGTGATCAGCGAGAGTTCTGCACAAACCTACGAAACCTTACGCAATGTGCTACAATACCTGAAGCAGCGTTAATGATCGTTAGTTAATGTGTATGTATATTGTGTATATATATATATGTATATATAGCAATATATATATATATATTACTATATTATATATATATTACTATATTATATATATATATATTACTATATTATATATATATATTACTATATTATATATATATTACTATATTATATATATATATTACTTGAGGATGCATCGCCTAGCAGGCAGCAAAGGCTTGCTTGGACCTTAAATTGATGCGAGCACAAACCCACCCTACAAAGATATGACCCGGATGTGTATGATGTGTGGTTCCATGTGGTTCCTTTGTCCAGAACAGTGACAGAATGATGCGCGTGTTGACACATTGACATGATGTGCCCGCACTGCTCTGTTCCACCACAAACCTGTTGCTGTTCCGGGGAGTCAAGAACATCTTCATGCTGTAGTGATGCGCGATCCATTTTTTGAAACGATTTGCAGGTCATCCTGATGAAAGAACCTCCTTGCATCTTCTAAGATCGAGGATCTTGTGTTGGGCTCTGAAAATAGGGTATAGGGTACCCCCAAATTCCCTAAATGATCATTTAATTTGTGGACAAATCCACTAGTGAATCTTCAGTTTCCTTGTCATGGCCATTTCAGGGGCACCATTTTCAGACACTAAAAATGGCTCCTGGGACTCCGGCCGTGGCCATAGCCATCATAGACATCCGTGAGCTGATCGGGTCCCTTCTCAACCTGTGTTCGGGTCAAAAATGAAGACCCCACAACCGAGAGATTTTGGATGATTTTGGTATAGGACTAAAGCAGTATACGCAAATCATGAAAAATCATGAAAAATCCAAGTTTGTGGAATTTTGATGACTTTTGTGGATATCCAAGTTTGACATTTTTTTTTCGCAGCGAACCTGAGATTGGATGCTCCTCATCATTGGCTACTGTATCACTGGCTGTTCCAACTGAGCGGATCAGTCCTAAAATTAAGAGGTTGATGAACAAGCAGTACCAGCAAACCCCTGTTGTTCATGCGTTTCTACGTATATAATTCAACTCCTTCCACAGTCTCAACACATCTCAACCGCACTTCCCGACCCCACTGCCCCACCTCAACTCTTGACGTGGCCTTTGACTGGCATTCTTCATACCATTCATCACCTCGAATCGCAGTTTTGCTCATGCTGTGGCGCCTTGACCCTAAACCCCTATATAATTGTCTCAACCGAGGACAGTCCCAAAACACGCTAACTTTGGAGCTTCTTGCTGGACTTGCGTGCATCATATTTTGATGAGAAAAGACACGCCAACGCATCGAAATGGACTTTGATCTTCAACCCTCAGGCATCCTCGTGCAACTTTCACTGGCCCCGGGACTGGCCCCCTGCTGCCTGAGCTGTTCTCCTGAAGCTCTGAACCTAGGTGAAGGGAAGGTCCACTTACCCAAACAATGGCACCCATACATACCAGCTGTCACCAGCTTCAAGTATCTTCAAGTGGCGTATATCAAATTATATCAATTTTATTCAGTTTTATTCAATTTTGCCCCAGTTCACTGCTCCACCCACCAGTGTTCCTGCACTCCCCGACTGAAGGACAGCGGTTCCCCAATGCCCTCGAAGGATCGCCTCAAAAGACCCCAGATGGCGAGATGGTCCGCCAGTTTCATCTCTGGCAGAATGCCATCCCGGGAATCCCACAAAAATGGTCAAAAAAATTAGAACATCATGACATATAATGACAAAAATGGCATTGAATTACTTTCAGACGTAGAGAATGATCCTCTGGGGCATTGCACGTCTTCATTTTCTCACGCACCTGCAGTCAGCAAAAAACCAACAAGGTTTTGGATCAATGCGGTTGTGGTTACATCCCAGATTCAGATCATTCAAGTGGTATGCAAAATTTGGAAACAACGTATTGGTTTGGTTGAAACAAGCTAATTTCTGGGATCGTCCTACATCGGATGGGCTCTCCCGAGCAAGTCTTGGCCTCCTTCATAGTCTGCAGGACCTCAACGCTCAGCATAACCCTGGTCGAGTAATTGAGGGGCTTCCCGAAAAGTGACGGTATTAAACATGACATATATATATATATCAAAATGGTATCCCTTCGATTCAACAGTCCACATGTCTTGAGACACGTTGAATGCAAAGGGACGTTGCAAAACAACATACTCTACATCTCACATATTCGGACTTAGTGCTCTGGGAAAATTGGCATTACATGTTGTATCTTTCTCACCAAGTGCAATTTCCTTTCAAAAAGGGACTCGAGAGCCTTTTGCATAAAGTTGCATCTATTTGCTGGTTGAAAGCAATTAAACCATCAGGGAATTTCGAAGCCTCGACCTTCACATCTTCTGGGCCACCCATCTGCAGCTGATTTCACCACTTCACACTCTTCAATTCTGTTCAGAACCTATCATGCGCCCGCCGGAGGTGTCCGTCTTGGAAGTTCGAGTGAGCAAAGTCTGCTCTGCTGTCTGTGACCATACGACATATCGGATGCTTTGAACACAAGTGTGCTTCAGCAAAATTAAACGTCTCTTCACACGTGACGTCCTAAGAATCTGAAATTGCCAGGATGTCAAGAAATCCATCTGAGCACCAAAGTGGATTCGTACACATCTCACAATCAATTCAAATCGATTCAAGTCGATAGCGGGAAACTACCGGACTGATCCATGCAAGTCTCAGTAGATCCAAACAATTCCAAGAAAATATGAATCCAAATAGAACCATCAGTCCAATCTCTGTTCCAGCCAAGATATGAGCAATTACTATATACGTAAATTAAACATACCTTACCTCCCGTCCAATTGTCCTGATTGTTCAATGTATAGATATCACTAGTATGGCTTATAAATAAATTGTTATGATAATCATCCTCAAATAAACATCAATAATCAACATCAATAAATTAATAAATTGCTAACAATGTGTCATTAAATGGATTAACATGTTGCAAGAATCCCCAATAGCATCCAATAAACATCAGTAAACATCAATAAACATCAACAAACATCCCTACACCAGGTAGTATAACATAGTATAACATAGTATAACAGAGTATAACATAGTATAACATAGTATAACATAGTATAACATAGTATAACATAGTATAACATAGTATAACATAGTATAACATAGTATAACATAGTATAACATAGTATAACATAGTATAACATAGTATAACCCATAATAAGATTAATAAGCCCTTACAAATCATCACCTGCCTCGAGATTTCCTCGGCCTTCGCGCCTCCATGATCTTCTCCTGAGCGTTGGCGGTACCTGGACGCCCTTCCTTCGCACTCGCACCTTGGCCGTCCAGGGCTCCGGCCCGGGCTAGCGGCTATGGGATGCGTCCGGGCTGGGGTAGCACTGCATAGAATTGGTCACTTGATTCTTTTGTTAAATTCTTAATGTTAAAACCATGTTAATCATGTCTCCTGATTTTCCAACATGTTAAAACCATGACGTTTGGGGTCAGTGAACTGACCGATACCCAGATATAAAGAAGATCAGATCGTTGCTGTTCGGTGATCTCTTGACCTTCCACTTTCCTGGTATCTGAAGCAGGCGCTCCAAATGGCTACGCGGAGAATAGAGCAAAGCTCCTCAGTGCAAGGGAGAAAATCGGAGAAAACAGCTCCATTGGAGCTTTGTGGAATAGAATCAATGATGAAATTTAGGTTGGGGACTTCCCACTCACACCAAACAAAGGAAAATATGTCCAGATTGATTACAGATCGCTCTTTTTCTGTATTTTTGTTGCTTGCCTCCTCAGCCATTTCAGCTTTATTGCGATCAATGGAATCCCAACTCTTGTCGCTACTGTATCCGCTACTCTCAACCTGTGGCTTTGGTGATGCATGGCAGCACCTTTGGTGAATATTTTTGTAGACAAGTGAATGATAGTAAAGGCCCAATAAAGGCTGAAAAGTCCGTGATGTTTTGGT